AAGTACTACTCATTAGTAGTAGTTCATCTGTTTGTTTGTTTTTTGTCTGTAAACTTCTATCAAATTATCTTCATTCTATCATTTGTGATTTCATTAAATATAATTATTATAAATAATTGTAATTATTCATTGTACTTCTATAAGTAAATGAGATCTCATTAGTACCTTTTTATTCAAATGATTCATAATTACAATGATTAAGATCATGAGTTAGTTGAAGCTAGACCACCATGGAAAACCTGGAAGCACTGGACAGCCGTTTCGTTCTACTGTGGGACTCCTCAGCAGTGCGCATCCACGACCTCGCCCCCTGCGAGATTCGAACCCAGGGCCTATTGGTTTCACGCGCGAGCACTTAACCACTAGACCACTGAGCCGGCATCCAACGATGTTAATGTCTAACTTCAACAAATCCACAAAATTGAGCGACATATCCACCATTGTCTTCAGTGAGTTACTATCTCACAACAGACCTGGTTGAACTCCACTGGTCACTACTTCTCAGTAGAACTCCAGAATATACCTCGTGAAGCCAGTCACTAGTAAGGATATATTGATTAAGATCAGATGGGTTTTGTGGATATTATAGTAATTTCAATGGTTAAGATCATGACTCATGATTACTATAATATCCACAAAACCCATCTGATTCATAATTAATTGAGGTTAGTACTATGGATTGTATGTGTTATCACTTGTATAATATAAGTTTGATAAACGGGTACTGAACACTAGATGGTAAAATTCGATGGATACAATGCGTTTGAAGTGAAAAACAAAAGAAACTTGTTTGTGGGATCAAACTATTTACACAAACTGCAAAAAATGAATGAGTTTTACAGAATAGACTACTAGGTAAAAGAATAGGTTTTTTATGATAATCAAGTCTCATGCTTATTATCAGGAGAAGCGAACGTTTTGTGGACCACTTGCTCGCCAATCAATTAAGATCTGACTTGAATTATTTATTGATCTAAACTCAAATGTTGAGACAGAGGGGTACCAAAATATGTGTACCACATAATAAGAAAGAGATAGAGAGAGGAAGGTAACCAAAAAGTATAAAAAATTAATGATGGTGGGAGAAACATTTCAATTAAGAAATATACAATCACAAAGGATTCTTTTAAATAAAGTTTTTCTCACTTATATGAAGTTACACCAGAACTGCTACTGGCTTCTATCCTGGGTCATGTTTATTAACGTCGCAAGCCATTAGATCCGTGAAGGACAAACAGATGTCATACACTGGCCACCTTCGCTTTACACAACCATCAACAAATAGTGAACGATGTGGAATCTGCTTGGATGACATTCGTAGTACATGTGCGAGCCAGCGGAGTCAATGCTTCAAGATTGTGACTCCAATTGAATTATCATCACTGACTATATTAGACCGGATTCTTACGTATTAAAACTCCATCAGTACCTCTTCTAGGGTTACTGTCGATCTCAAGCCCGGGTAAACGACAATAGTTGGGCAAGAGGTCAGCAACCCCATCCCATAGAAAAAAACGCTAACCAGAATAAATACTGGGAGTTGAGGGAAGATTTATGACACCTCATGATGAAAGCCGAGATTCTTTGAGTCTGATTCCCTTTATAACAACTAGAAAAACCATTATTATAGGTACATGCAATGTTCGGACAATATGGGAAACCGGAAGGACTAGTCAAATAGCTGCAGAAATGAGGAGATGCAACTTGGTAGTGCTCTGAATCAGTGAAACCCATTGGACCCAAGCTGGATGTTATATCTCGACGAGAATAATGAATAGTAACTGTTGCAACCTATTTGTGGGCTAATACTATACATATATATTTATTGTATAATTGCTAAGTAACTAGATTATGTATATTTATTTTGACCTATAGACTATTATTATACGATTTCCCATTCTTAATTTATACCCAGTTCATTGACTAACCTCCCACAGTCGCAGACACTTTTTGGCTTGGTCTTGCTTTTAGTAGTGCTTTTAGTAGTTATCTAACTTAGGTTGCTTTGTGATCTCAGTAACATGGCCACTGTTACCATATTTCGAAAAATATATACATAAATCAACAACAAGGAAAAATATAATGAGACTTGATGTTGCGCAGGTGCTGTGACTGACAACTTCAATGTTTCTCGTGAGCTTGTCTGACGCTTGGTTTATGAGAACTAATCAGAGCTGTTACAACCATCATCGAAAAAGTACAAGTGTTCATAAACAATCGTCTACATAAGATACTCAATGTCCGTTGGTCGAATATTATCAGCAGTAACGTACAAACCAACTTCCAGCTGGAAAGGAAATCAGGAAAAGACTCTGAAAATGGATATAGCGTACATGGTGGAAATCACCAAACTGTATCATGAGGGAAGCTCTCGTTTTGAATCGCGAAGAGAAACGAAATAGAGGAATTTCAAAGAGCATAGTGCACCGAGAATCGGAAACAAACATCAAAAGGATGAATATCAACTGGGAAGGATTGCCTAGGACAAAGTTGGATGGAGAATGCTGGTGGGCGGCCCACGCTCCTTCGTGAGGGGTAACAGGAATAAGTAAGTAATGACCGGGAAACATGGTTATATACAGATTATTGGCAAAAAATCAAACATGCAACTGGAGGAAACGAATTAAAACTTGTATCTGTGTGAATAAATATGTTGTCTTGTTTTTCTAACGACCATTTATGATTTCTGATATCATTAACATACCATGAAACCCTGAACATTCTCCCTTTCTCTTCATCTCTTATTCATTCTATACCATCCACCTGTGCAATTTCCATTTCGGATTGATTTCATAGTATTATATTGTACTGAACGAGAACTCAGGTGGAGAAAATCAATCTATTGTATAGCTCGAAATTACAGTATTCGGAAACTATGAAAACCATACATTAAATACTTTATTTGCACATCTTCCATCATTTGTCCTTCAGATTGTACATGATTCTTTCATTTCTCAATTCCTTTCTACGTTTAACACTGATGAGCTATCCATTCACACTTACCGCCTATTAGTGACCAGCCCCAGTGAACCCACCGGATATTGAAGCAGCACCTACAGACTTTCCCATAGATGTCACTCCACCAACGACCAAAGTAGTCAGCATGGCCATCAGACAAATCAAGAGCGGGAAACAGCAAGACCAGACAACATATCAGCTGAAGTCAGACATAGAAGTAACTGCAAGTATGCTTCATGTTCTATTCAGGAAGATTTGGGAGTAAGAACAAATGCCGACGGACTGGAAAGGAAGATATCAAAGAAAGGCTATAGCAAGTGTGAGAACCACAGAGGCGTCACAATCACTATGAGTATCAAGAAAATTTGTAAACTGTTGAACTGACTCTTATGTGATATGTGAATTTCAGCCACATAACTGTTAGTATCTACTAGAACACGATACGTAGTTTGTTCCATAATCAGTTGTCCTCAATGGAAACATGCTTAGAGGTGAATTGATTGACAAATACCTCTAATTCCTCATTTAATTAATTAAATTAATCCTTAGCATGTTATATGCGTGATATCGGTGCAATTTCTGGCTGTTTGTTTTTACCATGCCTAATACTGTAAACAGTGATATTGCTCGCAACACTGAACACTAGTAGTGTACCATGAAATCCATCCCTAGTAGGATAAATAGATTATGTCGCGACAGTTCGTATACTGGTTGTTTATTGTTATTTCATTTTTGCATTAAGTCTAATTTATGAACAGAGGAAACCTGAACAGGTAACCGAATGACTACAGCACCGTTTAAGACATTTTTGGTTGGTCGATAGTCAATTGTCAAGTTCATCTAAAAATAAAATCGGACAGGGATACTGTTTCATTCATAAATCCGAATGATATTTTCTAAAACTTACTGCTAATACTTTTTTTTAAGCATATTTATGTTAACTATCACTTGATAAGTCAGATAATTTGCACTTGCATTTCAAAAAGACTAATTATAGAAGTAATCTTACCGAGAACTACTTGGATGACGTTCATTTCTTATTCAAAAACTATTTCGAACCTTAAAACAATGAGATCCAAATTTTATTTTCTCGGTAACTCATTCAGACATTCACTTTGTACGATTTGTTTATTAATGAACTTGATGTGTGCACATACGTTACACATTATATGTGGTCGTTTAGCATTACAGTTAATTATAAAATTACTAACTGGTCACGGCTTCTCACTAAAACGCTGACAATTTTCAAGCTTAACCATTCAATAACATTAAACAATCTCCACAAATCCCTATTCTATTACTTAACATATGTTCACTGGTGAATAACTTCAAAAGGAAATTCTCAGAATTGTGACTAGTACAGTCCAATCGTGTTGGGTATAAGGCATTTAACTATCGAAGATAATAGAAGATGGTTGCGCAATACCGCATATTGATTGAAATTAAACATGTAAGTCAATAGACGCCGACCACATAATCAAAATTTTAAGCTTGAGCTGTGAGATACCAATATTTATGGGGTAGATTCCAGGCAGCTGCGTTTTTATATGTCCATTGTTAGACTCCCACACCAGGACAAAACAGATTTTTGGTGCTTTCTAGTTATTAATAGTTGCCTAACTTAGGTTGGTTCGTGAGCTCAATAACACGGTAATTGTTACCATATTTCAGAAAACCAACAGCAAGACTTGATAAAAGATGCTATTGTAATAAGCAGGTAACTAGTTTAGGGAACATAGAATACTTATTAGGTTCAATAACATAACTACCAAACAGTAATCTGACAAAATCGAACAAGAAAGTATAAAGGTGTGTTTTTTTCAATAAAAAAACAACTGATAATTGCTTATGCTTAATTGTTAATGACTTCGTCGATTAATGTCCCCCCCCCTAGTTTTCCAGCTTCTTTGTACATCACAACTAATAATTATACAGTAATATTAGTAGCAACTCGAACTGATGTACGTACGTACGAAGTTCTACGTTGTTACTGACTGACTGACTGAGTAGTTTTCTTCTATAATGATTTTATAGAAAAAGAGCATTTTTTCTAACTTGTATTGTTAAGACTATTCAAACAAGTAATAAAATAGAATAAACATAACCCAGTTTAAATGTTATAAGTATAATATAGATTGAATAATTTTGAAAATGATCCTTGTGTACTATAGGCAAACACACACATATATATATAAATATGAATTGGATATCTATCTATTACAGGATAATAAATGGTAAAATGATGAGAGAAGTACACATTTGGACTAAGCTATACATATATATCTTAGTCGACATTTCATGTATTTGTATTTCTAATCATAAAAAGGCTTGGGTGAGACTATAATTTATGAACGAACTAAGATAATAGATCTCGTATTTTGGCACAAAATTCACTCCATCCATTTCGCTAAATAAAGTTTTGACATTAGTTGATGATGATGAACACCCTTAACAACTATCAACTGCAAATCATAATTCTAATTCTTCACACACATTGGTTCATTTTGGTTCAATTCATGAAGTGAACATATTCAATATCATCATTTTATAGCATCATTCAAAAGATCGCGTCCATAAATGACAGTCTCTACTTATGATTGATCCGCTTCACTTTGTTTCTTCTTCTTCTTCTTCTTTATTATTATTATTATTATTCAAAAATGAAATATGACACATTCTATTCAATGTTTGTTGACAATCATCATAATGAAATGGATGAGTTAATGGTAATGTTATCATATAAAATATAATTGGTAAACTCATTAAACTTATATACCAATAATAGATGGTTATATTTAATGCTAATAAAGCATATCCAATATAGAATGAATTCATGATTATAATAAGTAGATATTGTTCTGGTTTATATAGAATAGTCTGAATAAGTTTATATGGATTACATAGAGGACGTAGGATACCGTCTATATTATCTATACAATAATCAAATATTAATGGAAATCTATATAATGAATCAAATATACTATAGAATAATATCACATAAGGATATATATAATATAATATCCCACCAAATAGAATAATACTCATACAAATTATTGGATAAGCATATAATATACAATAAAGATAATGAAACCAATGATAATCTTTAAATACAATCATAATTAATAATGAATAAATCAATAAACTAATGATAACATTAATGATATAATATAAAATAGGTAATGAAGTCAATGGATAATTCACTTCTGATATACATCCTGATCCAGCATATAGAATAGGATAAAATTCTTTAATATTATCTATAGGACAATGATATAATGTAAAACTACCTAATGGAGGATATAATAATATAATGATTAAACTTGTAAATAAATGAATAATAATACAACATAGAAATAATAACCATGATTTTTGAGTAATACTCATTTGATGAGTAGCAGTAGTAGTAGTAGTATTAATACTACTCATACTACTATTAGTAGTAGTAGTAGTCGATTGTTCTAAATGTTTCAAATCAATTTTTGTTAATGATAATATTGGTAAAATTTGTAATAAAAATATAATAGGTAAAATCATTATAAATCCAATATATAACCAATTATATAATGTGAATGATGTTAAACATAATTCACATATATGATTATATGGATTATTGTATTTATAGAATACTTTTGATCCCCATGAACATGATGTACATAAACTTGTATTAGATATTTGACCACAAAATTTTCTAGTACATTGTGAAAATAGTTCTAGATTGTTGTTGTTGTTGTTGAGGATATGGTTTGTATCAATTAGATTCATGAAAATACCCGTTTAGAATACACAGGATAACAGCTAAACGTTAGTAATAATAATAATAACAATAATCATAACCAATTAGTTAAGATAACATCACTCACTACAAGTTAGTTCAGTAAAAGATCTATGTGCTTACTTGTCCCTTTTTTTGCTTCCCAAATTTATTTCACTGGTTTATACTATGTGAATAACATCTACTAACCCTAATCTTTTCGGTTACTGCTCATCCTCTTACTACCTCTAACACTATGGGATTTAAATCGAAAATTATATCTTTGTGCTAATGTGTTATGGCGACTCAAACTCATGTACGTACGTACGAAATTCTATGTTGTTACTGACTGACTATGTGCTTAATGTTAATTTATATGTCATTACTTCCTGCCTTTTTTGATACACGATCAATACTTACGGAAATCAGCTCAATGACTTCTAACGATGATAGTGCGATAAACCAATTTCTAACCTATACAACAAAAGGTAAAACATATTACGATGGAATTAGCATATATAGACCTAAGAAAAAATAACAAGACATTGAAATAAAGTAGTAATCATCACAAAAAGAAACTGAACACACAAAATATAGTTTGATAAACAGAATGTAAAGGTATATCATGAAAGGATGTTAGGAGGGATTCGAAGGATAAAGACTAAAGTAGCAATAGAGCTTTTAGTACACCTATGAGGAAAGAATTTAACTAACTGGATGTGTATATACAGCTCCAAACACTCCTAGTTCAACTGACACTGCTATAAGTGAGTGATTTGTTACGGCTGCCTCCCTTGATTTCGTATACAAAATTACTTGTGGTGATTTCAACAGCAATGCTCTCGACTTGATATCCTGTCATAATGTCACACCGACGTATGAAGTGGTTGGCGAAAACTTTAACAAAATTGATCGTAAAATAGTCTTATTCACTCTACGGTTTCTTGCAAAGTGCAACAAATCCAAGACAACAACGACACATTTTCAATATACAGACTATCCTCACAATGACTAGGGAAACTCGATTTCTAATAAAGCTCTCTGACTGGAGTAGTCTCTTTACTAGTAACAATCCTTCAGAAACATTAGAAATGTTCAATGTCACCACTAAATAGTACTATATTATGTCCAAAATGGCACCCCATACTGTACGATGGTGCGACGTATTATGTCCTAACCGTCATATGTGAACTACTAAGTGGATGGTTTTCCCACTATGGGAATAAATCTCATGTCCCAGATATTAATGTCAGATGCACCAGCAAAAATAATCATAGTATTAGTAACTTATCACTTATTAATATACACGTCTTCACCAAACATTTAAGTTGAATGCAAGTTCTGATGCAGATGATATCCCATTGATTCTTTAAAAGAATGGTAGGACCGAACATAAGAACACTATTACTCAAAATATTCACGTCATTCTTAGAAGCAGATACATACTCCGAATCTAGGAAGATAGCGTATGTTGCACCCATACACAAATCAGGACCAAAAAATTTGATCTAGAAATACAAACCTATAAATATCACCCCAATTATATGACGCGTAGTGGAAAAAGTGATATGAGATGAACTATCTGATCACCTACTCAAAAAAGCCTGGTCCACCCGTCAGAACACGGTTTCATAAGGACAAGATTTCGATCCACATGCTTGATAGGCTTCTTTAACAAGATAACGCGCATACATGACCAAAAACAACTAGTGTTTGTTTCGATATCAAGACAACTTTTGATAAGGTACTTCATAACCTCTTAATCGACAGACTTTAATCCGTTGGAATTACTAATCATCTATTGCAATAGATTAGTTCTTTTCTCACAAACAGATACCAAAAGGATTAGAATTAATTCTACAGCATTTATACCCCGACCACTAGCCAGTGGTGTTGTGCAGGGCAGTGTCTTGGGTTCATTGCTTCTTACAACCTACATCAACAATATATGCAGGTAATTCAACACGGGTAAAACTTACGTTTACGCTGATAAAAAGATATTTGCGACATACAAAGTATTACGCAAACAATCCAGCGTGAACTCGACAAAATAGATAACTAATGTAAGCGCTGAAACTTTAAACTCAACACAGAGAAATGTAGATGACTATGTATTGGAGAAATATCTGTTAAAATAAAGCTAACACAAAGGCAACGTACTGGCCAAACTCAAATCAGCAACTGACCTTGGGGTGCACTATTCACAAAGTGTAAAACTTCGCTGAAAACTTCAGTGCCACTTTGAAAACGACAGGAGGCTAGATAGATTAAAACATATGTTTGAGGGATTCGCAACGAAATTCGCTAGTTAATTTGGCAACCTAGGATCCATTTCATTGGATCCCATGGATTTGCTTATATTAAGCCCATTCAGTAAACAAATACATGGACTTCTTTGATGGTCACAGTGTCCAGTGTGTGTGTACGTGTGTGGGGTTGTCTGGTATGAAGTGAAGGCACGGGTGCTTCTACGGCATACACATTGCTAAAGCAGTTCGGGAATACCTGAGGTTTTCCGTAATCACCCTCCACCAATAATGGAATATCACTGTCTCTCAATTCAGATTCAGATTTGTGTAGTAAGGACAGAAGGCCTACGGCCTATGTTATTCCTTTTCTAGTATGCTTCTGTGAGTTTCCAGTCTTCTCTCGAAAGAGTCAATTGAAGGTGCGGACAGAGTAAAGAGGTTCAGTTTTTCAAGCCGCTCTTTATATGATGAACCCCGGAGTTCCGGAATTGCACGCTTAGCTGCCCTCTGTACCTTTTCTAGTATGTCCGAGTCACCTTTTAAACAGGGGCTTGCAGCCTGAACACAGTTCTCTAACTTAGTTCTCACTAAGGATGTGTATAATGTGGTGAACATGGTAGTATCAAACTTAGTGAATGTCCTTTTTAAAGCCCAGAGTGTTCGAAACCCCTTAACTGCGACCTCCCGGCAATGGGCCGTCGTCTTAAGATCATTGCTCACTGTCACCCCTAGGTCCTTATGAAACCGGACTACGGGTAATGACACATCCCCTATGTTGTACGTATTAACCTTTGAATCCCCCAAGTGCATGTAGACCCACTTTTCCGAGTTGATAGGCATTAGCCACTCTTTAGACCAGTTTATCATATTATTTAAGTCCGCCTGAAGAGTAAATGCGTCTGTGTCTCCAGTTATTACTCGCCAAATTTTTACATCGTCAGCGTATAATAACATTGGAGACTGTACTATACTTGTAAGATCATTAACGTACATTATAAAAAGTAAAGGACCTAGGACGGAACCTTGGGGTACTCCACTAAGTACTGGTCTCCAGATGGAGCACTTGGAATTTATTCTTACTTTTTGCCTACGACCTACTAGGAAATCCTTAACCCATTTTAAAAGAGGTCCGGCAATACCAAGGTTTGCCAACTTCAATAGCAGTCTATTAGTTGGCACCTTGTCAAAAGCCTTACTGAAGTCTATGTAGACAACATCCACTGAGTTTCCGTTGTCTAGCGCATTAATCCAGAGCTCCCTAGCTATAAGGAGGTTCGTTGTACAGGATAGACCCTTTCTAAATCCATGTTCTGCCATGTTCAGCAAGTTATTGGTTTCCATAAATGCTGTTATGGTCCGTTTAATTATTCTTTCCAGTATTTTAATTACAACACTGGTGAGGCTTACGGGTCTGTAATTTGATGGAACTTGTCGTAGACCTGTTTTATGTATGGGAGTGACGATTGCGTCCTTCCAGTCCATAGGTAACACACCTTGGTCTCGGAAACAATTATACAAGAATAATAATTCACTGAACTACAAAGGAGGGTCCTTGAAACTCCTCACAGTGGCTCAAAAAAGTGTTTCACTTCCTTCTTCGAAATGGGGGACGAATGTGGGAGAGAATTAGGTTATTGGTTTCTGTCGAGACGAAATCCCAATATCGAAAAGGTCGAAATATTTGTGCCTCAACCCTTAATAAGTTTAGAAGGCCGTGCGAAGAAAACCTTGTTAAGGAATTGAACGAATGCCATAAACCCGTAAATTCAAATGTAATAAAGGAATTGAGATGAAATATTCTAGCATTATTGAGAGACAGTGATATTCCATTATTGGTGGAGGGTGATTACGGAAAACCTCAGGTATTCCCGAACTGCTTTAGCAATGTGTATGCCGTAGAAGCACCCGTGCCTTCACTTCATACCAGACAACCCCACACACGTACACACACACTGGACACTGTGACCATCAAAGAAGTCCATGTATTTGTTTACTGAATGGGCTTAATATAAGCAAATCCATGGGATCCAATGAAATGGATCCTAGGTTGCCAAATTAACTAGCGAATTTCGTTGCGAATCCCTCAAACATATGTTTTAATCTATCTAGCCTCCTGTCGTTTTCAAAGTGGCACTGAAGTTTTCAGCGAAGTTTTACACTTTGTGAATAGTGCACCCCAAGGTCAGTTGCTGATTTGAGTTTGGCCAGTACGTTGCCTTTGTGTTAGCTTTATTTTAACAGATATTTCTCCAATACATAGTCATCTACATTTCTCTGTGTTGAGTTTAAAGTTTCAGCGCTTACATTAGTTATCTATTTTGTCGAGTTCACGCTGGATTGTTTGCGTAATACTTTGTATGTCGCAAATATCTTTTTATCAGCGTAAACGTAAGTTTTACCCGTGTTGAATTACCTGCATATATTGTTGATGTAGGTTGTAAGAAGCAATGAACCCAAGACACTGCCCTGCACAACACCACTGGCTAGTGGTCGGGGTATAAATGCTGTAGAATTAATTCTAATCCTTTTGGTATCTGTTTGTGAGAAAAGAACTAATCTATTGCAATAGATGATTAGTAATTCCAACGGATTAAAGTCTGTCGATTAAGAGGTTATGAAGTACCTTATCAAAAGTTGTCTTGATATCGAAACAAACACTAGTTGTTTTTGGTCATGTATGCGCGTTATCTTGTTAAAGAAGCCTATCAAGCATGTGGATCGAAATCTTGTCCTTATGAAACCGTGTTCTGACGGGTGGACCAGGCTTTTTTGAGTAGGTGATCAGATAGTTCATCTCATATCACTTTTTCCACTACGCGTCATATAATTGGGGTGATATTTATAGGTTTGTATTTCTAGATCAAATTTTTTGGTCCTGATTTGTGTATGGGTGCAACATACGCTATCTTCCTAGATTCGGAGTATGTATCTGCTTCTAAGAATGACGTGAATATTTTGAGTAATAGTGTTCTTATGTTCGGTCCTACCATTCTTTTAAAGAATCAATGGGATATCATCTGCATCAGAACTTGCATTCAACTTAAATGTTTGGTGAAGACGTGTATATTAATAAGTGATAAGTTACTAATACTATGATTATTTTTGCTGGTGCATCTGACATTAATATCTGGGACATGAGATTTATTCCCATAGTGGGAAAACCATCCACTTAGTAGTTCACATATGACGGTTAGGACATAATACGTCGCACCATCGTACAGTATGGGGTGCCATTTTGGACATAATATAGTACTATTTAGTGGTGACATTGAACATTTCTAATGTTTCTGAAGGATTGTTACTAGTAAAGAGACTACTCCAGTCAGAGAGCTTTATTAGAAATCGAGTTTCCCTAGTCATTGTGAGGATAGTCTGTATATTGAAAATGTGTCGTTGTTGTCTTGGATTCGTTGCACTTTGCAAGAAACCGTAGAGTGAATAAGACTATTTTACGATCAATTTTGTTAAAGTTTTCGCCAACCACTTCATACGTCGGTGTGACATTATGACAGGATATCAAGTCGAGAGCATTGCTGTTGAAATCACCACAAGTAATTTTGTATACGAAATCAAGGGAGGCAGCCGTAACAAATCACTCACTTATAGCAGTGTCAGTTGAACTAGGAGTGTTTGGAGCTGTATATACACATCCAGTTAGTTAAATTCTTTCCTCATAGGTGTACTAAAAGCTCTATTGCTACTTTAGTCTTTATCCTTCGAATCCCTCCTAACATCCTTTCATGATATACCTTTACATTCTGTTTATCAAACTATATTTTGTGTGTTTACTTTCTTATTTTAGTTGTTACTGTTTTCTTTCATTCTCTTCTTATTTCCCGTTTGTTTTGCTAATCTCGATTATGTAAACTTGAGCCGACCTACATCTGTGTTAAAATGTTTATCGACGATTTCTCTCTCTAAAATCTCTTCTGATTATCGGAACCATGATCTCGTGACCACGGCTCACTGCTGGGAAGTTTCAGCTAATGGGTTTGGAGCCTTATGTGCTGTATGGAGAACATTCACTAAGTTAGTTGCTTACTTGCTCACTACAGTATACACAACCTTATTGAGAACTAAACTTTAGAATCTCGTTCATGCGGCAAGCCCCTGTTTCAGGTGACTCGGATGTCCTGAGAAAAAGTCCAGGGAGCTGCTCTTTGTGAAATTCTATGAATTAGTTGAGTACCATACACAGAAAAGCTTAAAACGAGATCTGTTTACTCTGTCCTATCGCATATTATGAGGTGATCTGATTTTGATGTGTAGGATACTCAGGAGTGGTATTAGACCCGACATACCCCATATTTTACTTCACAATAAGTCGAGAAATCTCATAATGCATAACAGAGTAGTAGAAAAGCCAAGAATAAATGAAATACAAGTGACATACAGATTTTCACACCGAGACATTAGTTGTTGGAAGCTCTTACCCGAAGCAGTGGTGTCTGCACATTTACTTGAATCAATCAAAAGAAAAGTAGACACTCACAAAAGCATACTAGAAAAGGAACAGCATAAGCCGTAGTTGTCACAACATAAATTTGAGTCTGAATTTGAAACCTGAACTTGAAATCTGAATCTGTTCTTTTAAGCTGAAACTGAAACTGGGTCTAGAAGGTCATTCTCTGCGTGGCTTAATACGAAATCTGGTGACTATGTCTAAGCTAATTGAACTGAAGCAAGATGTAAGTTTTGTTATCCTCAATGAACTTGTTTCTTCGGCGTATAAAACGTGTATGGTAAGGTTACGAGTGTAATCTAACCGAGCAGTGAAGACGTAAAACAGGTTTTAAACTGATATGCCTCGAAACTTGCTAACTTGAGTAGATAAATAAGATTCGTTAATCCTTCAGTCATTTTTGTTAGCGTTTGGTCCCTCATTGTATATTGCACTACCCTGCTTTCTCTCGATGAATAATCATACTTTTCTTCGGTTTTTAGGGTGATTTGGAAAAATTGTTAGAGGAAAATAAGACAAAGTTGGTTGTTGTTGATTTCTTTGCTACTTGGTGCGGCCCATGTAAAACCATAGCTCCTCTGTTCAAAGAATTGAGTGAGAAGTATGACGCGGTCTTTGTGAAAGTCGATGTCGACAAACTTGAAGTAAGTAATACTTAGATAAATTTGAGGACCTTACTTCACTGTCCTCATAGTCCAGTGAAAATTTTTAATGCTTTTATTATTATGTTTACCAACATGCAATAATAACGTGATATTATCTTTTAGGAGACCGCCAGATCCCATAATATCTCAGCTATGCCAACGTTTATAGCATTAAAAAATGGTGAAAAAGTTGGTGAGGTTGTTGGAGCTTCTATTGCTAAAGTTGAGGATATGATCAAGAAACATATTTAATTTCTGTATTCTGGTATTAATATACATTTAAGTATGCGTTTATAAATGTGTATGTATGAACGTTTTCATTTAAAATAAATTATACTCTTACATTGGTTTCCTTCTCGAATTACATTGTTTTTTATGTACTTGGAGTTCCGGGCGGTTGTTGTGCTGTAACTACCGTCTGGTCAAAAGTCAGGTTAGGTATATAGTCAAACTCCTAGTTTATCGATATGTCCAAATCTGACTAGTTTCATGTAATCTAACGTTATCCATTTGCCACTATCTTTAACAGATCCTTTACTAATCTCATGCTGAAATTGTGGAGAAAGATAAAGATAATCCATATACCTAAGAGAGTATCTGGTGATAAGAATTTGAAATTTAGACCCACAGCAATAACCTCACCTTTCCTCAAAACAATGTAAAAATTATTGTTACTACCACTTCACCCGCAATAAAAGACCACATTGATCCGTATCAGTTGGCTCACATATGCAGAAGAAGCGCTTTATGTGTTGTTGCTGTTCTGCATCACAACATAGTGTTCAGCTTGGGAAAGAGTAAGAGGTATGTTCGATGCGCATTTCTGAATCATGCTTTTGATACTATACTAAGACTAATTTACTTGTCAAGTTAATCACTCTCAACACTGACTGCTGGATAACCAATTGGATATGTTCTTATTTCTCTGAAAGGGGGCAGTACACTGTGTTTGGAGGGAAGTGTCCAACGTCTATACTGTCGCATGATGGTGTGCCACACCGAGCTGTTCTTTCACTTCTTTTTTCCCGCATAATCTGCCATCATCCAAAGGAAACACTCGTGGAATATGCAGACGATTTCTATGTGTGCCGATTTCTACCCTTTTGTCTCGTATTGGGTGGTGGCCTGTTGACTGTCTCATAATTAATCCGTCTAAATGTCGAACTGCTAACTTGAGCCTGAGACATGAACAGCATCTAAATACATGTTGGGGTCTCATAATGCTTGTGCCATTAGAGACTGATAAACACTGTCGAAGGTCAATTATCTTGATGTTACCTTTTCCTCTGATCTCTCTTGGTCTTCTCATGTTTTACTATTATCGAAGAAAGTTTTCCGTCTGACTTACTACGTGGGGAGGCTGTGTTTTTGGGATTACTCGACATTTACTCTTACAATCTGTCGATCCCTCCATATTACCAGTTATTCTTTGCTGTTCTGCTTTATTCTTTCCCGGGATTTTGAGATAAAAACTGCTGTGTCGCGGAGAGTTCTGAAGTCAATTAAAAAGGTGTGCGGTGAATCTTTCGAAGTCATTAATATGGTTGTGGATAAACATCTAAAGTCTTGCAAACTCCTGGTAGGTGTTATCAAGTAATGAACATTCCCTTCATTCACGTATTTCTGATATATCCTCTGTTAGAACGAGACGTCAATGCAATAAAATCCATGCATGCAAGCAAAGGTTTAAAAGTTCGATAATACCTTACCTAGCAAATATAATCTGTGACGAACACGTTGTTAGAGTTAACGTAGTCAATAACTCGTATCATTGGACGTCTTTCACTTGAAAAGTTGTGCGGATTCAGTTCTTTTTTGTTGTTTTTGTAAAAGAAAGTTGTTGAAATACTTCGTGCTGAGAATTCTATGTTGTACCAAAATATAACATTGAATAGAGCTATTAATAATAATGAACAAAATCTTCAAGTTGACCACAGCTCCTACCTTAATTTAGACACCTTTCTAAAATGTTTCCTACTATTAGTTCGTCAAAACATACTTCAAACAAATGAATAGGCAGTTATAGGAAATCGGTTTTTTTAAAGGTTTGTTTGTAGTTTCTTCGCATCACCAATAATCATGTACATAGTTCTTAGGTAAATCACAAGCACATAATTGTGCAATGGTCCTGTGGATGGTGCCTAGCATGTAATCTTCGTTCTAGATACAACGTAGATCAAAAGTATTAAGCGTTCTCTACAACATAGCTTTGACATTATGTCATACCGTATGGTTCACAATTAATACGTCTAGCAAGGTCAAATGTATTCAGAACTTAGTAGGGGTAAATATATCCCGGCATCCCTCGTAATCAATTATGGACTTAAATCGCGTTAGTAAATAACGGAATGAAAGTAAGTCAAGCACGAAAATAACGTTTGAATACATTCAGAGTAATGCACAGAAGGAAAAGAAGCGAAAAGAATCAGAGAATGTATATGGGACAACTCAATTTAATCAAACATGACTATATATCTTTAGTCAAACACATAGCGAATAGAGTAAGTAATTAACATACATTGAATCACATAGAAGCAGTCAGAATTTAATAAATGAATAAGTGACAAGGTAAAAATGTGGCTTAAGAAGAATGAGTAGATTGGTCTGTCTAGAGGCTAGAATAACCCATGTCGGCTTGACATAGTACCAGCCCCTAAAATACACAGTTATTATACAATATAATGTAAATGAATATTAATTAATGAAATAGTATCAATCACGTACTATATCAATAAATAACTGAAAGAAAACATGAACACAACTACTTCAATAAGTCTTATACACAATAAATGGAATATGACTAGCAGGAAGATTTAAAAAGAGCATCACTTCATCCTGTTTGTCCCAGAGTTCATGTCCACTTTATCAAGGTGGTTAGCGTTTTTCTAGTGGTTTAGTTTTCTACAGGATGAGATCGCTAACTCAAGGTGATCTGCACAATATGCACATATCCAAATTGAGATTAATTATATTTCTGTTAAAAATACAGACAGCGGAATAATTCAAAATGATTATAAATCAAATGAAAATTGATAGTGATTAGCTATATGGATGTATTAGTTATGCAAATAACGCGTTAGTTAGTATAAAGCAAAGGATACTGAGTTCAAGTCCTGAAATGAATATGAACTTACTACCTGGGATCAAGACACATTCAACTAACAAAAAAAATTATCTAAATAGAACTTAGTAATGCATTTTCTTTTTGATGTCATCTACTATTCACATTTTGAGGGGAGCCCTTCACTTGGGATCCTCAAGGCCAAAGGAGAAGAGAAAGAGACCAAAGAACACATTACGCTGACAAATGGAAACAGATATGAGAAGAATGAACAACAATTGGATAGAATTAGAAAGGAAGGCTCATGATAGAGTGAGTTTGAGAATGCTGGTTGGTGGCCTATACTCCATGGAGAGCAACAGACGTAAGTAATGAAGTAAGCACTAGTTATATTCCATCTATTCTGTATAAATTTCTACTAATTCAACTTAATTAAGGTAATAATTAACCAGTTATCAAAATTCTTTTATTCATTCTATTAAATTAAAATTAAATTTTATTATAAATGTTAATCACTAATTTAAAGTACAGTTCAAATCGGGTTGCCATGGTGAATTATTTATGTATGTTACTAGATTTAATACATTAATAATAATTCCTTTATATACATAGTTCCGTTTATTATCTTAAAGGGAAAAGATTCGTTAAGTTTTAATCAGCTATTTACAATCTACTTAGATCAAACTTATTATATACATTGGCATACTTATACATATGAGGGTGATTAAAGCTGATTGTATGTATCATGATGTAGCGAAGATTTTGATAGAGTTCAATGACAGTGATGTAATTTGAACTTGAGAAACAGTTGAAATAAGGAATGACGTAATAATTAAAACATTGGTGGGGGGGCGGGATACTGTTACCAGGGCAATGAAAGATTTATTACTGTCTCTATTTGGATACGTAGATCTGGTTTTAGATGGTTAATTGCTGTCACTTCGGGAAATTTCGAAAGGTTAGAGTTTGATTGTTTGTTAATCATATTAAAGGACTTTAGTGTATCGACTTTATATCCTTTAATCAGTTACATAACAATCATTTTAAACCTTACTTACTTGAGACTCTTACTCCCGATGGAGCATAGGCGGCCGACCAGAATTCTCAAACCCACTTTGTCCTGAGACCTTCCTTTCTACTTCTATCAAATTGTTGTTCATTCTTCTCATATCTGTTTCCATTTGTCAGTGTAATGTCTTCTTTGATCTTCTTCTTTTCCATTGCACTTGAGGATTCCAAATGAGGGCTTGCCTTGAGTTATTTCCTCAATGTGTGTCCTATCCACTTCCAGCACTTCTTTCTGATTTCTTCCCCCGCTGAAATCTGGTTCGTTCTCTTCTACAGTAGATTGTTGCTGATAGTGTTTGGCCAACGGATTCAAAGTATTTTGCGCAGACAACTGTTAATAAACACTTACATCTTCTGGATGATAGCTTTCGCAGTCCTACAGGTTTCTGCCGCATACAGTAGAACTGTCTTGACATTTGTGTTGAAAATCCTGACCTTGGTGTTGGTTGACATTTGTTTTGAGTTGTACATGTTCTTCAGTTGTAAATATGCTGCTCTTGCTTTGCCGATTCGCGCCTTCACATCTGCATCAGAGTCACCGTGTTCATCGATGATGCTGCCCAAATATGTAAAGGTATTTACATCTTCCAAATCTTCTCCGTCAAGTGAGATTCGATTGGTACATGCTGTGTTGTATAGGAAAATCTTGCTTTTCCCTTTGTGTATGTTGAGACCTACTGCTGCTGAGGCTGCTGCTTCACTGGTCGTCTTCTCCTGAGTTTGTTGTTGCGTGTGCGATAGAAGAGCCAGATCATCTGCAAAGTCTAAATCGTCTGGCTGCATCCTAGATGTTCACTGTATCCCATGCTTCCTCGCAGATGTTGTTATCTTCATGATCCAGTCGATCACCAGGAGAAAGAGAGAGGGTGAGAGTAGGCAATCTTTCCTGAAACCGGTCTTTGCTTCGAACGAGTCTGTGAGCTGTCCTCCATGCCTGATTTTACAGTTTAATCCATCATAGGAATTCCGTAGGATATTGACTATCTTCTCAGTCACGCTGTAATGTCGAAGAAGCCTCCATAGTGTTGTCCTGTCCGCGCTATCCAATGCTTTTTCGTAGTCAATGAAGTTGATGTAGAGTGATGAATTCCATTCAGTTGATTGTTCCACAATGATCCGCAGACTTGCGATATGCTCTGCACACGATCTATCCTTACGGAATCCTGCCTGTTGGTCTCAAAGTTGATCATCTATGGAGCCTGTCATTCTGTTTAACAATACCCTGTTGAAAACTTTTCCTGGTATTGAAAGAAGAGTGATGCCTCTGTAGTTATCACAGTTGCTGAGATCGCCTTTCTTCGGTATTTTGATCAAGTATCCTTTTTTCCAGTCTGTTGACACTTGTTCTTCATTCCAAATCTTCGTGAATAGAATGTTGAGTATCTTTGTAGTTACTGCTTCGTCTGCTTTCAGTGTCTCTGCTGGAATATTGTCTGGTCCTGCTGCTTTGCCACTCTTGATTTGTCTGATGGCCATGCTGATCTCTTCAATTGTTGATATGCCAACATGAATTGGAAGGTTCGTGTGTGTTGCTTCAATGTTGGGTGAGTTCAATGTAGTTGATCTATTTAAGAGTTCTTTAAAGTGTTCTTCAATGTCACTGATTACTTTGCCTTTCTTGTTTTTCACTCATCATTCTAATTTACGTTAATTTCCAAGAAATTTCTTTGTTGTTTTTAAAGTTTATACGGAATTAAATCGATTTCTTTTCAATTAAACAGACTATTACTATAATTGGAAGTTTCTATCTTATGAGAAAACATATTCACCTACACTAATCATACTACTTATATTAAAAGAGTATCTTTTTTAAAGTTTAAATCACGTTGTTTTTTTACGTGACAATTTAAACAATATGACAATGATCAATTTATTGTCATTAGATTTAATAGTACATGTTTAATCTCTTTTTTTGTTATTCTATAAGACTCTACTATTATTCAATGAATTAAAAGTTCATTTGATGACTACTTATAAGCATATACAATTTCATATCTATATAATGAATTAATGATAATTAGTAATAACTCTGCCTGGAATTCCTCTGAGGCTACTGCCCATCCTAAGAAGGAGGTTTTGGGTATGAGGTTAGTAGCCCCATCTTGTAGAGAACTAACTTGCTATGGTGAATTATGTATACATGTTACTAGATTTAATACATTAATAATAATCCCTTTATAAACAAAACCCCTTTCGATAATAATCATCTGCTCAGTAGTGACTGACTTCAAGAGACATTCTTGAAGTTCTAGTGAGAAGCCGTGACCAGTGGAGTTCAATCAGGTCTGTTGTGAGATATCAGCTCACTGAAGACAACGATGACGGTGGCGCAATTTCGTGCATTGGTTGAAGTTAGACATTACCACCATTGGATGCCGGCTGGCTCAGTGGTCTAATTGGTTAAGCGCTCGCGTGCGAGACTGACATGTTCTGGGTTCGAATCTCACGGGGCGGGATCGTAGATGTGCACTGCTGAGGAGTCTCACAGTAGGACTAAACGGCCGTCCAGTGTTTCCAGATTTTCCATGGTGATCTAGCTTCAATTGACTCATGATTTCAATTATTGGAATCACTAATCATAAAGAAAAATGAGTAATCTTATAAACTTTCAATTGATCTATTGACTATTATTATATGACTTATTATTGTTAATTTATTTTCGATTTATTAGTTACACTCTTTCAAATATGGGATATATAGAACTCAAAATAACTGTCTGTCAGCTAATATCAAGGTCAGATTCTTCAATACCAACATCAAGACAGTTCTAATGTACGGAGTTGAAACGTGGAGAACTACTACTACCACTGCCAGGGGGGGAGTTCCTTCACTGTTTACTGACTCAATAAGCAGTTTACTTGGCACAAACAAACTAGCGTGACAACTGAATGTACGCCTACTTTAATAAAGGCATATATCAAAAGGTGATTTAATGATAAAAACTAATACCATTCATATATTAACTGAATAAATATAATAAACCCATGGTGGTTGGAGGTAGTCAACAAGAGACCCTGGACCTAGGTTTCGTGCTACTTGCCACTCGTCAGCAAGGCGTACCTGTAATCTTGATGGAACAGTCAAAGACATTACCACTAAGCTATTCGGGTCGCCGCTGGTCGATAGAATTCAATCTGCACTAAGAAGGACCTAACATTGATCACTACCCAATTATAATAAACCCATAACCAGAATTTAAGGAATGAATATCAACAAAGGAAAGAGAATAGAGAATAACTAACTTATGATTCGTTTTGAAATGATTTAATTCAGTATTTATTCAGTACCGTTGTTAATGACAGAAAATGTAAAAATATGAAACTAAGTTATAGTCAGTTACGTATAGCGAATGTACTTTACCCGGATTGATCAGTCTTACGCGTATAGTCGTTTGACTAATCGTCAACTTCGTGACCTTGAATGAGTACTGAATGTATTATAGAAGTATATGAAGTGCACAAAAAAATATTTCATTTTGTGAATTATTTGTATACATAAATCTGAATCACTTTTACTAATTTGGTTAGTTATCAATGATGACCAAACTATTTCTATCTAATTATAATGGTATGGTGTATCTAATTAAACTTGAAGCATTACAATAAACAAGATCTTAGCATTTAGTTTATGATGTCACTACAATATATCAATCTTGTTGAACGACTATGCCCTGTTATATCCGATCTATATTATGTTGGCTTACGAGAAATTATTTCAATCTACCATCTTATTGTTATCAAATATTGATCTTGTATTTCATTATTGAATAGAAGTACACATATCTATGCATCATTTAGAAGTGATTTGTGCAACTTTCAATCATGGATTGAGATTTTTGTCATTAGAGTTGATAGGATGGAAAGAAAAGTCAAGATTATTTCCGTTTCGATTCAATGAGATGATCATTCAGTGAGGTATTTGCTTTCTTTTCTCGTACGATATTTTATTCAATATAGTATACGATATTCTTGTATTCCATTGACATGAACTATGCTCAGTATGTGATTTCATTCTAATTATTAATCAAAATGGGTGTACAATCAACATGTAAATGAGTGTCTTTTCTATTAGAGTTGTCAACGTCGTTTAGGGGATAATAAATCACCACTTATACCAGTCTTGTGTTCTTACTTTCATGTCGTGGGAATTGCCGAGGTCTCTCGTTCCGATTATAAGTGATAAGCGTTTCCGACATAACAATCAGCGACGACTTGATATAACAAGCAGCATTCAACTGACAAATTATAACAGAAAATAAAAAAGGGAATACCGAAGAACACACTGAATCAGAAATCAAAAGAACACTGCTAGCCACTATCCATTATTGCTTACAAAAAGCTTGCGAATTAAGGCAATATCGAGGCATACGTGCACAGTCAAATCAGAAGTCAGAAGTGAAGAGGTTTGAAGATATATTTGATAGAATATCGATATACCGAGAAGTGACTGGTCAAAGCTGGCTAGCGGTTGCAGGATATTTATAGCACGATATAATATGCAACATTGCCGGTTACATATAGAAATTTCGGCTACGTTCGGTATATTTCGTGGTACTTATCGAGTATTTGTCGATAGTATTGATTGACCGTGTGTCTTACTGTGGCTGGAGATAATCTACAACCGGAAAAATAAGTTGCACAAACAGATAAATTAATATATACGAATATTCGTCAAGATTAGAACGAATAGTTTGACAGTAATTGGGCGCCGAATATAGAGAAGTCATTATATGTGAAAATTATATTTGAAATATTCTCAGCGATTGAAATTTAACTAATTCCAACGTTTCGTCCAGCTAACTTGTCTGGACTTCTTCAGGGTAGAGTAATCCAAATCAAAATTATCAAAGAAATATGTAGCTTTTTAACAATCAGGATTATACTGTGTTAAACCAATCATATTTGGGTGTTGATTTTTTGGTAAAATAGGATAAAATGAGTCAGTTGACTACAAATCATGTGATGAATTCAACTGCATGGAAATACTTAACTGAGTAACAAATCGTATGTGTGTGAGTGTGTAGGTATGTATGTATGTGTGAGAGATTGATATGAAGGAATACATAAAAGTGCAAGTTCAAGGATGAAAAATTGTTAATGAAACATCGATGTACATGTCAAAACATAAATTGTATTCACTTGATATTGTTTTTTATTTGAATCTTCCTATTGATGTTTTTGCACTGAAATTGATCAGTCTCTTATTGGCATATGTGCATACTGTGTGTATGCCTCGATATTGCCTTAATTTACAAGCATTGTAAGCAAAGATGGATAGTGGCTAGCAGTGGAATCCAGGAGGCGCGTTTCGTCCTGTTTGGGACTCGTCAGCTGGATGTACCTGCATCTCAGAGTTGATGTTCACTCTGGGACTCGAACTCAGTACCGTTCGCTTCAAACGCCATCGCGTTATCCACTTAGCTACTGAGTCCTGATAGCCACTTGCTTGTGCAATGGGGTGAAGTTTAATTACTGAGTTCGAGTCCCAGAGTGAACATCAATTCTCTGAGATGCAGGTACATCCAGCTGATGAGTCCCAAATAGGAAGAAACGCGCGTCATACTGGATTCCACTGCTAGCCATTATCCATCATTGCTTACAAAAAGCTTGCGAATTAAGGCAATATCGAGGCATACGTGCACAGTATGCACATATGCCAATAACAGACTGATCAATTGCAGTCCTAAACACATCAATGGGAAGTTACAAGTACAAAACAATACCAAGTGAATATTGAATCTCTACATTCAAATTGTTTCTGTCTAACTAATCAATATTCACATGTAAACAGTCACCATCATCATAACAATAATCTTTATTGATTAGAATATTATTGATTAATTACGATGCATTACGATCAATATAATTTAAATAATTAATCTGATATAAATATGATATATTTAAGGGTATCAGTTCATTATAACAATGATGAGAATGATGAGGATGATCATGATGATGATGATTAGATTGTACTTCATATAAAATAAATTTTCTAAAAGTACAATGTTATATCTAAGTAAAGATTTAATTATAGGTAACTTCTGTGAATTAACAGTTGTCCAAGCAGAATACTTCGGATCCGTTGGCCAGATACTATCAGTAACAACCTACTGTATGAGAGAACAAACCAGATCCCGGTGGAGGAAGAAATCAGGAAGAAGTGCTGGAAGTGGATAGGACACAGATTGAGGAAATCATTCAACTGTATCACAAAACAAGCCCTCACTTGGAATCCTCAAGGTCAAAGAAGAGGAGGAAGATCAAAGAACACAGTACGCCGACAAATGGAAACAGATATGAGAGGAATAAACAAGAATTGGGTGGAACTAGAATAGAAGGCCCAGGACAGAGTAGGTTGGAGAATGCTGGTCGGCGGCCCATGTTCCATTGGGAGTAACAGGAGTAAGTAATTAAGTAACTTCTGTGAATTAATAATGAACTAATATTATACAATACATTCTTATTGTATAACTATTCAGTGACTAGATTGTGTATATCTATATTCCTTTCATTATAAGCTTCATTTTGATTTATAGATTGTTATTATACGATTTAGCGTTCTTGAGTTATGTCCAGTCTATTCATTGCAGTCTCCCGCATTCACAACCACTCTTTTGGCTAGATCTTGTACAAATTTACATTTCCTATTTTGTAGTACGATGTAGTGTGGTTGATTTGTTTATAAACCAGGTGTGTATCAGGACTCAGTAGCTAAGTGGAAAATGAGGTGGTATTTGAATCGAACAGTACTGGATTCGAGTCCCAGAGTGAACATCAACTCTGAGATGCAGGTACACCTAGCTGACGAGTCCCAAATAGGACGAAACGTGCGTCTTGGATTCCACTGCTAGCTACTATCCATCTTTGCTTAGAATGCTTGTGATGTAAGGCAATATCGAAGCAGTCCTCACGGGATGCATATATACCAATAACAGCGAGACTGATCAATTAAAGTTCTAAATAACAATGGGAAGATACAAGTAAATAACACCAAATATAATAGAGGCTATGATTGACATTCTGGACTAAACCGGCTAGGTTAGACAAGGAAAAAGGACGAATAAGTAGGTTAGGCTACTCATACCGGTCAATACATTATTATTGTCATCCAGTATTAAGATTATTTAAGTTATACACCGATTGACGATATTTAATAGGTCACAAATATCCTAATAATGATTAAAATAACCGATTATGTCATTGAATGGTAAATATTTAAGTCTATAGAAGATTGGAAAAGATTACACACATACATTGATTCAAGACTCTTATTATCAAATGAGGTTAAGTTATAATCAAAGAGTAAATACGAATGTCCAAATTAAGTAAATGATTTTGTTGAAAAGAAACAGAATGGAAACGTTATCGATAAGCAACTTCAATTGTAGATATGTTGATCTTATACTTTGCCGATCCGCACTTTCACATCTACATCAGATCTACCGTGTTCATCAATGATGCTAGATGTTCATTGTAGCCCGTGCTTCCTCTCGGATATTGACGTCTTTATAATCCAGACGATCACTAGAAAGTGAAAGGGTGATAGTAAACAACCCAGCTAACCTTGGCAATATATGCTTTATAACCGAAGATGGATAGTAGCTAGCACTGGAATCTAAGACGCACGTTTCGTCCTATTTAGGACTCATCAGCTGAATGTACCTGCGTCCCAAACTTGTTGATGTTTACTTTGACATTCGAACATAGTACCGTTCACTTTAAATACCATCTCATTATCCAACTAGCTACTGAGTCCTAACAGCCACTTGCTTGTGCATTGGCATGATTTTAAATTCACACACCATTATCGCACACAAATACCATGTCGCACATATATTCTTCTTGTTCTCAATTATCCAGTGTTACGACAACAAAACTATGATATATTTACTGTCTTTGTGTTCACAGATCGCAGTGATATCCTCATTACATGATTGATCTGGATACATATCTCAAATTATAACAATTATAAGTGAAATTACTAACTACTTATAATTTTGGATTAAAAGATTAAAAGAAACTAGAACACGCTTACTCTGGACAATTTAAGTAACTATCAAAAGGGAAGTTTTGTGGAGATTTTAATAATTTGATAGTTAAATTTATGAGTCAATCTAAGCCAGATCACCAATGAAAACCTGAAAGCATTGGACGACTGTTTCGTGCTAGTACAGAACTCCTCAGCAGTGCGCATCCATGATCTCTCTCGTAGAATCCGAACCTAGGACTTTCGATCTCGTGCGCGAGCGCTTAACCTCTAAACCACTAAGTCTTCATCTAACTGTGTTAATGTCTTACTTTAACCAATCTACATAAACCCCTTCTAACAATCCTGAAATTCTTAATACGTGATTTAATAGAAACAGTGCGCTTCTGCATAAGTTGCTGAACATTATCTGTATATCATTGGTTAACAACTAATCCCAAGATGTTGAACAAACGAACAACGGAATTTTTTACTTTGAATCTAAAGTATTTCAATGTGTCACTTTTTTTCCACTAATCAGACACATCTCGAACTTGATCTGTGCTTCTTATTGATTTTATGAGAAACCTGCTTTCCTGTTATTTCTGAACACAACGAACAATGTTTTATGGTTAAATTTATCAAGTAAATCATTTTGTTGTATCAAAAGATGAATAAAGAATAATACTAGAACTTTCGTGTTCTTCTTTCATTAGGTGTATCGAATTCTGTTAACTCTTCGGAATATCTCGATACTTTAAGTGAGTGTACTAATCACTGATGAGTCAGTGGTTATGTTTATATTATCTTCCAAGAATTTAGGTCTCACAAATCATCTTCACATTTTGGAACAGAGCAAATATTGATTTCTTTATATCATTAGGTTGAAACACACAACATATACTGAAGTTGACCTATTTAACGTAGATTCTACTCACTATGTGACTGCACAAACATGTTGTAAGATATAAAATCGTCTAAGTTTTTGTATGAACCATTTGATTTCGAGGTTATTGCTACAAAACAGTAAACTTAATTAGATGTGCTTAGATTCGAGAAGTATATTTATTTTAAGTTACACTGAGCCATCTTGTGACGATGTGAATACCTGTTACGGTTATGAATTAGTCAATGGTAGTTAGAGTATGGC